GGTGCGGGGGGAGGGGGGGATGGATAATTTCTGGTATTACACATTGTAATAATAGAGCTTCAGATCCCTGTGTCTGTACTTCTGTACAAATGCTTTTCTCATTCTCATATTATTATAGCTTTGTCATTCCAATATCACTTGTTAGTTTTTCTTACTTTGTGTTTCACTTATCTATTTCAATTATTTTTTCTTAAAAGTTCCAATAATTTTTAATAACAATTTTTCGTTTTTTCAATACAAGTACAGAGTCGGGCAATCTTCGGTAATTTTATTGCCAAGGGATAAGATTTCCTATAATTTTCGTTCTCAAACGATTGGTGACTGATAATCTGCTGAAAATCAAAGTTGAAGTTGCGTGAAGTGTTTTTTTTTTTAATTAAAAAGAAGAAAAAAAGAACAAAATAAGCGTAGAAAGAAACAAATAAGAAAGAAAGGAGAAAATTGAAAAGAGTAGGAAACAAGAARTAAAGAAAAAAAAGAAAAAGGTAGGAATGACTGTAAGTAAGAGAGACTGGAAAAAATCTGGGAGAAAGAGAAAAAGGAAAAAAGAATTTTTAAGAGGAAGAAAGAAGGAAAAAACGAAAGAAAGGAAGAAAGGAAGCAAGTAAGAAAGAAGGGAGGAAGGAAGGAAAGAAGAAGGAAGGAAGGAAGGAAGGAAGGAAGGAAGGAAGGAAGGGAGGGAGGGAGGAAGGAAGGGAGGAAGGAAGGAACTTGAAAGGTTTAAAAACCAGCGGCTGCAGTTCTTTATTCAGACGTCCTTCAAAAAATCCTTTAAAACTTGAACTGACTAAAACATTCAAAAGAGAAACAACTGAGCTCTCCATCTTGTTTACACAGCCTGTCCTCGATAAAATAAACTCCTACAAGTATCTCTAATCATTCTGTCTGATAGTGACAAAAATAGAAAAACCCAAACATGTTTAACACTCTCTTTTGACATAATGTTAAGTTTCGGCTTTCATGTTAAATAAGTATGTCAATTTTTTTGGCTCGACTCTCAACTGGATAATTTTTGGATATTTATTGATAGTTTTTAGCAAACGATTGTGGCATAATGATAGCTTTCAATTTTTCTTATTTTTTTTTTTTTTTTTTTTTTTTTTTTTTTTTTTTTTTTTTTGAGATAAGGTTTACAGCCTTTAGCAGTCGATTATTCAGCATATATACCCTTAAATTCAACCAGTTCTATTTATCCTTCCTCTGAATAACACTTCTTTTTACCAAATGCTTTAATAACCTATTTATTAAACTTAGTTTCTGTAGGCTGTTCATGAAAWTTTTGTTATTATTTTCGATATTTTTGAATTTTACATTATTTACTTGAGCCAGCTAAGGTTATTCTTTCGCTTAGTTCACATAATCAGTTCGAAATGAAAGGACCTCTGAGGTTTTACTGAACGGATTCGATTCCAGAAATTTGCATCTCATGTRAGTAGAACTTGTTAGGTCTATCCTGATAATGCGAGGTTTTAATTTTTTTCGGGTTCTTCGGTTTTCTTTTCACCTCAAAACCTCAACCACTTTATTCATAAGTTAGTAGGCGTTCTCTGACTTTGATCAGCCCAGAGGTTGATTCAGGGTTCAATTTGTGAGTAGCCATGCCCTAACTAGCTTTGATCAGCCCAGAGGTTGATTCAGGGTTCAATTTGTGAGTTAGCCGTGCCCTAACTAGCTTTGATCAGCCCAGAGGTTGTTTCAGGATTCAATCTGTGAGTTAGGCGTGCCCTGACTTTGATCAACCCATAGGTTGTTTTTTGAGTTCGATCTGAGTAGCCGTACCCTGATTTAGATCAGCTAAGATGTTGTTCCAGGGTTCGATAACATTGAAGTTACAAAGTCGCATTTAACGAGTATGCCCATAATCAGATATAGTTTTTGTATTCAAATCTCAATCTTTTTAACGGACAAAAGCTTGGCCGGTTGGTGTGCCGAGCTATCGGCCCCAGATTGACTGTGATGGAACGTCGCTTGTAATTCCAAGCTGGACCGCATTTTAGACCGGCTTCTAAAGTTCGTGATGTGGGAACACTTGAATTTCTCGCTGATTTTCGACAAGATTTCACCGAACGCTTCGCGAAAATTCGTGCTATGAAGTGTGTAGACGACAGGATTTAAGCATGAGCTACAGTATACCAGGAAATAACTCAGTTTGTAAGCTATCGAGTTGCCATTGTTCACAATGGCCGAAACAACGACGAACGGTATGAAGCAGACGAAAARAATTACAGTTACTATTAAAAGTAGCTTGACTATCTTACGCTTTTCGAGTTTATCTCCATCTTTTATCACCATTCCGTTTGTAGATCCCGTGGAGGACCCCGCAGACCCTTGGGAACAGATAGTCTTGGTAAAATAAAGACCTTTTATGATATTAAAATAGCAAAGTAGGATGATCAATGACGACGTGATAGCKATAGCTGCTAATATTATCCAGTAGACCATCCTTGAGGTGTGCTGCCATACTATTTCACAGAATTGTTCTGTATTGTTCCATTCTTCAAACACGAACAGCGGGACAACAAAGGTAATAGCGAACAGCCACATTAACGCTATCGGGTATCGGACATTTTTTCTTGTCAACCTCAGACGCTCCTCCAGCGGATGGAACAATGCTTTGTAGCGCTCAACGGCAAGCACAGTCAACGTAAAACCAGACACAAGCTGCGTTATCCCTGCAACATGATGCTTCGTTACGAACTTGCAAAGAAAATTCCCGAGTATTCCTCTAGGGTGTTCCACAAGGGTCAGCACTAGGCCCGGAATTAACCACACTAAAGTTAATAAATCGGCAACGGCTAAGTTTACTAAGAGGTAGTTAGTTGTTGTGTGCATGGATCGTTTCTTCTTAACAACAGTAATGACGAGGCTGTTACCCCCGAGTCCTACGATAATCACCAGGACATAAGCGGGGATTAAAATCAAGTCAATGGAACTAAATGAGTTAATACCGTCGTTAACATCTTTTGTCGAATCTGTGCTGTTGTTTTCCATGCCCATATGCAAATCCATTGTCAGTGTAGTTTCTTCTGTTTCAAATATATAAATTTTCGACTTTTCTTTTCCCAAAATTCTGTATGCGTTAAGTTCTTTTTCGATTTTYCCCCCACCTTTCTTTCTCCAAAATGCAGCCTTAGAAAATTAGTTCTTCCAAATTGCTCCAATACCAAAGTTGAAAAACTTTACTTGCTCATTTGGCGTCAGTGTCCATTCCACTTAAGCAGTTTTTATGGTCGTTTCCCGCCTAAATTATGCCGTGTTCTGTGTTTGTTCTTCCGAAAGCACTTCTAGGAACTAGCAACAGCTATAAGACTTCTTAGATATCAATATATATATTTTCTTTTCAAACTAATCACTTACTGTTCAAGACGAAACATCTCCGGAAAAGCATCCAATCACTTTATCAATGGGATCTTTAAAACCTTGATGGAACTTGAATTTCAATCCGTACGATTTTCAATCGTTAAATTAAAACCGGTGGATTTTCTCGTCCACTTTACGTCGTCTTCTAATTTGCTGCTTTGTGCTATCTTGCGACCCCAGGAAACCGCATTACAAAAGATGTCCGCTTTTTTGTTCGATTGTTTACTTTGATCTCTTGTAAATCTCCGGTCAACCTTTTATCAGATTTTGTATTTCGGCTTAATTTATGAAGCTAAGAGCGAGTGAATCTGGCCTTCAGTGAGAAAAACGCTTCCTTTTCATTTGAGTGTACATCTCAGTTCATTCATCCAGTAGAATAACCTTGAATCCACTGTTAGAACAGACGTTTAATGACCTGAAAAAAGCACAACCACATGTTAAATCATGTTTCTAATATTGACTTTCTAACCCGCAAACAACGAACAATTTGATCTCTTGCATAATTACGATATTAAGACRCCAYGACATTTCAAAGAAATWAAAATCTTATTTTATTATTTTTTCACACTTAGATATTAGATAATTGGTTTGGTGGTGGAATAAATGATATAAATCAGACATTTGCGGTCGCTGACGGCTCCAGAGTTCAGCCTTCAATATTTTTTCACGACCACAGGATTTTCAGTGCATAAGCGAAAAGTCCAGCTGACATAACACTGTTGTTTGTTTATCTTATGTAGTTGTGGTTTTATATTTCTTTTTCCTGATTTTCTCGTTTATTTGGATTTTTCGCTTTCTCTTCTCTCCTCTCCTCTCCTCTCCTCTCCCAAGTCCCTACCTTTCCCCGTTTTTTTTATCTCTCCTTTTTTCTCTTCTGATTCGAGATGTTTTCCTTTCAATTATCTTCTCTCTCTCATTTTCATTCTTCTCTTCTTTCCTGTCCTCTCTTCTACTCATCTTTCCTATTTCTTCTTATCTTCTTACACGCGAACCTCACGTTAACAACATTCATAGCTTTTAACAAAAGTCACTTTAGTACTTCCAATCTCTGTCCCAAAGATTGTCTTCTTTCAAAATCAAATCTCCTTGAACCGTCACAAAGGTGTAAAAATGACTCCTGTTTATTCAAACAATCATATTTTTTTAAATTAATCCACACCTTTTGCGCTGTACACGCGCTCTCAACGTGAACGTCGTTGCGGCGTCGATTAAATAAAAAAATGACCTCAATTAAAACTTCACTTTTCATACCATATAAGCCATTCTAATTATTTTCTTTCAAAAAATTATATAATTGGTCTTTTACTGTTTTCGATAAAAAAACAAAAAACAACACATACGTTTATGTCGAAACATTCTGTAAATTTATTTAGACTAAAGTTAACTACCGTCCAGGCCTTGCATCGCGACGCACTAGTTTGCGAAAGAGAAGACAGGAGACTTTGGTTTTGGAATAATTTTAGCCACGCTAGTGACTAGTTTAATAATCAATAAACCTCTATAATCGTACGAAATACCAAAACCCAAAGAAGCTATGTCTTCGGCAAAGGTGGGGCGAGAATAAACACGCCAAACCTAGATTAACTAAATACGATAATCCAACAGGTGGGCCGCAGGGGTGGAGGTGGGATAATTTTACAGTGAACTTGCTCGACTGCGAGAATAATAGGAAAGAGGCCTCGTGGTAGTAAGACGCGCCTTAAGTACTGCTACGTAATAACAGTAATCATATCCTATTGGTCGACTTGAGATATGCGGATTCATCTAGTTGGATTACCGAATCTAACAACAGTATAATGTTTCGACATAAATGTCATTATGCTGTCAGCATAATGTTCTGTAATATATAAGCATTCCAAGGTTGAGGAAAAACTGGGTCGAGTTGACATTGCAGTGCATTGTGGGACTGTTTTAATGGCACATTTGCAAGATGGCGCCTATTTCGTCCTCTAAAAGAGTCCCCAGTTTTTCCCTAAACCTCGGAGCAACAAATCCTTTGCTCTACACGCAAATGAATCAAAATTGCTTGTCATCCGTCCATCCATCCACCCATCCCATCCCATTCCATCCCATCCCATCCCATCCCTCCCATCCATCCCGTCCATCCCATCCCATCCACCCATCCCATCTCATCCATCCCATCCATCCATCCCATCCCATCCATCCATCCACAAATACTATTCTGAGCCCCAAGATAATAACCTTACATTTCATTACGATTTCACAGATAAAACACTATTCCTCARCCTTCCAGTTGATCAAGTACCAGGTTAGTGCCATCGTCTGTTCTAAATATTACCATTGACAAAATCTAAAAACTATTGACAATTCTGAGCACCGAGCATGCGGCAAAAATCTGTTAAACAGAAAAGGTTGGGCATATATAAAGTACCTACTTTAGCAGTTTCAGRCGATACTCTGCGGTTGTTTTGCTAAAAGACTCGAAAAAAACGTTGAACATCAGATAACTGAAATGAAACTGTCGTTGATGATATTGAAGGCTATTTAGACACAGAAAGTAGGTCATATTACAGAAGCTTATTGGTTATTTTGCTATTAAAGACTCGAAAAAAGTTTGAACATCAGATAAAATAGGAAATTGTCGTTAGTGATATTGAAGGTTATTTTGACRAAAGCCATGTGTGCGAGAGGACTAATCGTTTTAGTCAATATGAATCCAACTASTCGGTCAAATATATAGATRCAAACAAGTTTTGAATTAAAGTTAAATTTAATGTTTTGRYTTTGAAAGCAGGCACTTTTCGCTACTAGWAGGCTATAACTTAAAGMCTAMWAGTAGCTCATYCAATCAGAACGCAGTATTGATRATAAAYAGTTGRATTTGAGAAATGTCGGTTATTTTGCTAAAAAAATTTTAAAAAGAGTGAACATCAGATAAAACAGAAATTGTGGTTGATAATATTGAAGGCTATTTAAACACAGAAATACGATTGCCACCTGGTTGTTTTGCTATTCAAGACTCGAAAAAGGACAARAAAAGGCGTGAACATCAGATAAAAAGGAAAATTTCATTGATGTTATCGAATGCCATTTAGACACTCTAAAAGTGCGTCTTGCAGATGGTAACTGATAGCCACAGTGCCTGTTAAACAATAATACAATTCAATAAAAAACCTCACGATTAGAAACCCACTAAAAGGAATCTTTATCACCGAATCTCTTCTCCATGCGCTCCATTTAAATACCTATTTCAATAAACGWTGTAGAAGTACGCTGCAAATTGTATTATAATCAATAACGAACAACGTAGATTCCTTTTAGATTGGAATATAAAGTTTGAATGAAAAATGTGATTTTTCGAATTTCAGAAAAAAAACAAAACAAAGAAAGCTCAAAAATATAACTTTTTTGAGTTCTAGTTCACCGCAGAATCGTTTACTCAGGCGGGCTTATTCTCGTATCATGCAGTGTCTAATATTCACAAATATCAATGGTAAAGTAAAGAATGCACARCTACAACTATTACAAACACCTTTGAAATTCCACGAACCTTCACTGGAACACATAAGTATTCTGCACAAAGTCCAGGAAAAACCTGAGCAATAGATAACTCGAAACTGGAGTATTCCGTTTAGTCTCAGATCGCCAATATTCAGATCTACCGACCAGGTTTTTTGAAATAGGTGTATATTACCGCTGAGCTGGCCATGATATATCTGGTATAGCACTCGGGTTTATGGCGACTAATGGATTTTTGAACGTGTTTTGGACAATTATTCGAAGTTATTATTCTAGAAGTGAACCGACATATGTACTTAGTAGTAATCACTTGCCTTATATCACAAGAAATTATCTCCATGGTATCTAGTTTGATGGTGACATTTCTTTTTTTCTGTGAGCAGATGTTCTTGGCCGTTTAAGGTTTAAGTTCTTCCCCGCTAGGAGTCGTTTCTTTTGTTTTTGTTTTTGTTTTTTTTCGTTTTTTTTTTGTTTTTTTTTTCAAAAATCGAGCTACCTAATACAGCTACCTTCTTTAGTTTGAGTCGTTCTTGATGGACCAGTGCCAGTCGTTCCACACTGCAAACATGTTTATATTGATGGCCTGTAGAAAAAAGCTGAGGGGCAGGTCATGGGTGTGACGTTGAAGACGGTGGGAGCGTGGCCTTACAACACCTTTGATTAATACAAATTACAGCTTTTGTAGAAATTACTTTTCGCTGTATTTTTTGTTTCTCTRGTTTGTCGTTTCTTTTTATGGTTCGCACAAGCGACTAACAACTTAGAAGATTCTAAGAGGGTCTACTAAATATCG